ATACCCATGCCCCACCACAATGAAGGAGCTAGGGATCTATGAAAACTGCGTTTGCCTTTTTGAGCACATGGGGCTTACACAGCTGTTACAGCCTCTTCCCTCTTATGAGCGCTTCACTCATCAGTTCATCTCCACTCTCAAGGTGGTCAACTATGAGATGAGTGAGCTCTCTGACCGTGATGGATGGATCTCCTTCAAGCTTGGGAAACAGCAGTTTACAATCACCTTCCAAGAACTCTCTAAGGCGCTGGGGCTAAGCACTTATTTTCAAAGAGGAAAGAAGTTCTCAATCCATGAATCACAGTACACAAAGCTATGGGAAATGATTGGAGTTGGGAAATTCAGAGCTGGAATTACAAGGAACCAACACTTGAAGCATCCTGCAGTTAGATATGCACACAAGGCGCTTGCAAACACTTTCTTTGCAAGGAAGGAAACCTCACACCTAACTGGCAAGGAGAGAGACTTCCTCTACAAGGGATTGTATACCAGTGTGGACACCAACGAAAACACAACACCTATTGGTCTACCAAGCAAATTCCCTTTCTTTGTAAGACTGTTGATGGAGCAGCTACTAACTTTATCAGAGCTGGGTTATCAACAAAGGAAAAAGGGAGAGGAATCCACAGCTTCACATTAGAGGAGTTGTGACAGCCATACTCATGGCCTGTGATGTGAATCTTGAGGAGCATGCTGAAGATGCTCTAAGTCCTTCCTGGATAGACATGGACTATCTGAAGAGAAGCCATTTCCTTGAGAAGAGTGTTCAAGAAAGGCATGTCTAACTATTCCTCAATGATCACCAAGAGCCAGTATGAGTCCTTCTCCCTAACCCAAGGCTCACTTCCTAAGAAGATCTCGGAAATTAAGTAGTAAACTTCACCACCATACATAACATAGCAATGGATTTTAGAACCAAATCAAATCATCAAGAGTGTCCACTACTGTATGTTTAATTGTGTCTTAGATTAGGAGAAGGATCATGTGTCTTGGATTGGCAGAAAGATATGTTTGAGGATCAAAGGCATGTTTTATGGGTAGTAGAATCAGAGATCGGTGAGTTAAGTATCATATTCAGACTTGCGACCGATTTCAATTCACATGGAGGGTTAGTCTTACCTAGGACTATTACCTTGGGCCTTGGAGATCGTTGAAGACATCAAGCCTTATGTCCCAACTGTCCATATGTAACACATTTAGTGGGAACCCATGCCTACATGACCATTTACGTCAGCATTTTGGTTAGTTTGTGCAAACATATATGTCCCTCCGAGAAGAAAAAATAAGGTAAAAACTCTTTGATGATTAAGTTTAAAAGAGACAACATGAAAGGTCGAATGGCCAAAAGCAAGACAATGAATTGGTTTCAATTCCATATTTAAAATTTAAGATTAACATAGATATTATATTATTTCTTGGTTAAAACTTGAAACTGAAATTTGAAAATACTCGATTTGAAGGAGGAAAAAGACTGAGCACATGAATAACAATAATAATAGTATTAACAACAATACATTACAAAGAAAATCTTGCTTCTTTAACTAAGCTTGGCAAGAATATTGTTCAAACTTTGAGACCGTTTCTGTTACTCTGTCTCTGAGTAATACTTTTCAGTATCTGGGCTGCTCTTTGACCTTGCCGCATAGTCCAGCTTCTACACAAAAAACAACAATCTTTGATCAATCTAAACATTAGAAATAATTTGTGCATTAAAACACTCTAACTTATTCACCAAGAAACCAGGAGAAAATAAAAACCAAAAGATGAAAAAAAACTTACGTTAGCGATGGTTTGGAAGAGCTTGCCGGTGAGTTTTTTGAGACTCTATTTTTCTTCCTTAAACCTAGTAGAGATAATGGTATTAAAGATTGACATGGAGATATGATGCTCTCAAATGGAGGTCATTCTGAATGTAAGGCCAAACTTTTTTGTCGATCAATATTTTAAAGTTAATGATCTCTTTAGCATTTGGCCCTAGCTGCAGCTTGACAATGGCTGCAAGTAAAATCTATCTTTCAATGCCAATGAAAAATCTCTTGCTTGGTCTGATTTATCTGTCCTAGCTGTTCTCACATACACAAATCAAAACCACATTCAATCAATCTGAACATAAAAGTAGAACCAATATCTAGAATCGAATTAACCATTTCTTCTCCAACAAAACTCTCAATAAAACCGTAACTTTGAATATTCCACGATTGGTTTTTTTTAAAGAAATAGAGATCTAAAACAAAAGTTATAGAGAATGACATACGGCCGCCAATCGATCTAGATTGTTTTAATATATATAGAGTTTCAATAGAATTTAAAAGAATTTATGGTTTATTTGTGGCAGCATAAATCAATTATGTTAGTCAAAAATATTAGTAAGGTTAAATGATCAAATTAAAATTAGTTTAAGAAAATAATTAGGATCTCTTTGTTATTTATGCTAGTTACTTTTTTTAATTAAACTGAATATTCTTATGATATAAATTCGAATTTGGAAATCTAGATATTAAAAAATAAAAATTAATTAAAAGTTAAATTATATTAATTTCTTAATTTCATTAAGAGTAAGTAAAGTATTTTCATATAAGGAGTAAAACGTAATTAACCATTCTAACTCTCAACCACAACCCAATTTATTTTTCAATCTTAACTATTATTTGATAATCATGTTTAATGAAAAAATCTGATGTGTCATCACATTAGCAAAAGTTAATGCAAAACAATGTCACATCATAAATGTGACATGACAAATTTCCTAAAATAAATGAAATATTTTAAATGGTTAAGTTAAAACTAAATAAATATCATTTTTAAATAAGAAAAATGTATATCATATATCAATGAATTCTCATTATATAGCAGGAATTCAAAATTATAAATTATAAATGAAACAAAAAAAAATAAACAGAAGGAAAAATAAATTATCAATATCCTGTTAGGTAACTTTTTTTATTATAATACTGTATCTATGGATAAAAAGTAGAAGTAAAAGTAAAAATGAATCTTTACGACTTTGGTTTTATGTAAAAATCTCAGACAATATTTTTTGTTTAAAGCATCTTCAACCCACCTTCATTTTAAATCTTCTAATTTAGGATAAAAAAAGAAAGGTTGTTATTTTTTCCTCTAATTATAGAGAAAAAAATAACAATCTTTTTTTCCTGTAAAATTGAAATAGGTTAGAGAGAAGTCCACTTATATTTTAAAAGAAAAAAATAAAAATACACTGGAGATAATCTTAATGTTTAATATATTATTAAATATTAAGAAAAAAGTATGAGTCAAAGAAGACAAAAAAAATAATTAAGAATAATTTTGATTGATTTTAAGTTTTTATTTAAAATATATTAAAATATTATCTTACACATATTAATTCTTTAATGCATATATTTTTCTAACATATTAAAACATTATTTCATGAATCAGGTTTTGTATATATTATGATCTATTATATTTTATAATAACAAATATATTAAACTTAGGAACAGATCAACTCTTAATTTTTGATAACAATCAAATATTAAATATATTATTTTATATCTTAAATCATACACATATAAGTTTAGATTCGATTGGTTTAAACGATTCGGTTACAAAGAGTTTGTGAAAGCGAGCGATTGCATATTATAAACAATTTGACGAAGAGATGATCAGAGAGCTACCAGAGAATTTTACAAAATATGATTTCACAAATTTTATAATAAAATTTTATTATATTTTTATTGAGAAACCATATATCATCAAATGATGAAAAATAAGAAACTTTGATTAAATACAAAACAATATAAATGGTTTTTGTGATTGTTGCTGAACGCCAATAACTGCATCGTCTAAAAACATAACATTTACGGAAAATACCAGAAAAAAACTTACCAACACCTAAATATTACAATTCATTTATTTCTAATTCATACATACATGCATAAATATACTTATTATTATTTTATTTTTTTAAAATCAACCATACATTATAATAATATATATTACAAAACATATACTTTGTTATTTTTTTTAACACATAAAAGCCATACTTCGATATTCTTACAAATATGCTTGTAGATATAAATATTAATTGTGCAAAAGTTAAAATCGAATGCAAACTTATCGTGCATACATTTTGTTAACCTCGATTACATTCTAATTTAAATTTTAGTTGTTAGATAGTTTATATTTTTTAAAAATCTTTATATGTCATCAGAGCGATGATGTAGTTGGTATGCACGAATGTGCGGACCAACCATCTATCCGTTCTTAGGATAACTAAATATAGTAGAATTTATTTCTGTTTAATTATCAATAGGTCAAAGAAAAATATATACTTAAAATATATATATTGGCAAGATTATATTATGTAAAGAGAAAAACAAAGTATTATGCAGATAATATTCAAAACATATCATAAGAATTTAATTATTATTTAATATAACTTTTATATTTGTAATTATATATTAGTGTAAATGCTAGGAAAAATAAAAAATTCTCAAAAAACACAAAACGATATGAAACTTTTGCGTGAATGTTGTTGAGCACTAAAATTGTATATATATAAAAACATAATATATAAGAAAATTAATTAATACTTAAATATTACAATTAATTATGTCTATAAAAAATTATACTTGCACATGCATACAGACAAAAAAATAATTAAATAAATTATTATATATTTTAATATTTTTTTGTTTATTTAATTATTATATTTACATCTATTATCTTTCTTTTCTATTCAAATATATAATATTTTATATTTAATTTATCATTGTTTTTTATTATCAAATATTTTTTATTTTATTATATATACATAATTAATCATATATAAATAAAATATTTTTAATATTATATTAATTATAATTGAATATATAAAATATTTTATAACGTGTACGCGGTGCAGACCAATCACCTAGTTAATAATATAATAAAATATATTATAATATATGATATATATCGATATTCCCAAATGACAAATGGGAAAATCACGAAAAAAAAACAATATTCGAGAAATTAGAATATGGAAAAGGAGAGGCGCATGACGAAAGTCAACTTGACTCAAGTGACAAAATTTCGCATTATAAAATCCAAATCGCTTCGTTAAAATCCCTTTTAACCCCTCGCTGCGTTTCTTCAAATCGCTTCTTCTCTACGCGGATTTATCTTCGTTTCACCATGACTCATATCCTTTGATACTCTTGCTTCAATCTCCGATTTAGCTTTCGATTCTAGGCTCTAGGTTTCTTTCTCGATTGCTCGATCTACGAATCTTCGGTTAAATTCTTTGCGTGCAAAATTTAGGGATTTTTTTTGGTTTAAGTTTTTTCAATTTAGGGGTTTTGCCTCAGAATTTTCTATGTACTAGATTAGATCTTGTGGACTGCTTGCTTAGATCTTATAAGATTCTGATTTTGTAATCCAAAAACTTGTTGTTTTCTTTGATTCGAGCTTTTGAATTTGATGCGGTATCGCACGTGGAAGTCAGAGAGAGCGTGACCGTGAAAGAGCCGCGGCTCGTGCTGGAGGAAAAGGAAAGAATGCTGACGACGGACTTACGCCGGAGCAACGCCGTGAAAGGTATATAGGCTGTTTCTTTTTCACTGAATTGCTATTAGTAGCTTGATTTTGATTTTTGGGTTTTTGTGTAATGATCTTAGAGATGGAAAGGCGTTGCAAGAGAAGGCGGCAAAGAAGGCTGCTCAAGCTGCAGCTGCGAGTTCTGGCGGAGGAGCAGGAGGCAAAGGAGCTGCTAAGAAGTGATGATTCCTTGGTTTGTCGTCTGGGGAAAATTGTAGACTTTTACAGTTTTTTATTCTCTCAAAAACGTTTGAAATTGGGTTAACTTAGACTTAGACTAGAGCTTTGCTCTTGTCTGCATAATCCCATTTTACTTGTCTCTGTGTTGAAGTTGCAAGTTTGATACTTGGTGAAATCTTATTTGGTTCTGTTATGAAGTAATCTTGCAAATTGCAATTTAACTGCCCCTTTTGGTAGACATTGTAGTTCTTGTTATTCTGGAGTGTTTGAAATTGGGTTAACGTAGACTTGGAGGGTTATGAAGGCTTTGCTCTTGTCGGAGTCCCCAATATACAGTCTCTGTGTTGAAGTTGCAAATTTGATGCTTATGATGAAATCTTATTTGTTTTTTCTCTGATTATGTTATGAAGTAATCTTGCAGATCACAGCTTACTTGTCCCTTTTGGTAGACATTGTATTGTTTGAAATTAGGTCATTTAGTTTAGAAACTGAACTGAGCTTGGTTCGTGTAGCTGCCATTATATGCCTATCGTGAAATCTTATTTGGTCTTTAATCTGATTTAAAGTATACTTGCAATTCTACCGTCTCTTTTGGGACCTGTGCGTTGTTCGTGTCTGAATTGCGTTGTGGTGAATCTGTATTGAAATTGCAGTTTGATTCTTGTGGTGTAATTAGGTGTAGTTCATTGAATGGTTCTAGGAAAATTTTACTTTAAAAAACTCGAAATTGGAGATGAAAGGAACTATTTTGAGATCGAAGTCTGTCTTGCTTACCGGAAAGTGACAAGACTATATGAAAACACTTTAGCCAAAAAAAAAAGACTAGATGAAACATTAATAAAATTCTTGAAATACTGACAGTCTTGAGTCATGTTTGTGTATCCAAAAAGAAGAAAAAAAAACAAATTCATAAGTTAACGAGAACACAGTATTGTCGCGTGTTTGTTATGGTAGTTAGAATTTAGAAATCCGATTTTCGTTTCAATCTTTGTAATTTTCGGTTTTTTATTATGTAATTCCAGGTGAAAAAACAAAGATCTGTCTCTAAGAACTCCACTTTCTTGGCTCCCTGATTATCTCATTTAGCATCAAGCACAATTTTCAATTTCAATGTTATCGAGATAGGACATCCTCCTGTAATATCCCCCAATTTATTGAACATGGTGTTGCATAATGAAAATTGGAAAGAATTGATTTATCTATTATTAGAATGTCTCACATCGATAGTTTGATTGTATTATGAACAATATAAATCATATGAGATAATCCTACATTCTTAAATTAGCTTTTGAATGTAAGTTATTGACTGCCTACCCTCTCTTGTATACTTCTACTTCCGCACGAATCCACCCAAATTCGTAACCTCGTGATTTTCCCCCTTCCCCCTTTCCAAACTTTTTTTTCTACCTAATTTCATGAGATAAGCTAAAAATTGTTGACGTTCAAATTAACCAAATCAAGTTTACCATACAACGATAACCCGAAATTTAATTAAACCCATACCCAACAACCCAATAACCCGACCCAAACTTTAAACCTATACCCAGGTCAAAATTGATTTGGGAATTAGGTTTTTTTTCATCGCGACAAAGACAAAGCTTCAGAGAGAGAGAAAGAGAGAAGGAGAGTTTAGACATAAATCGCGATAGAGGGTCAAAACGGAGACATCACCGGCTTGGTTATCGTCCTCGGGTTCTAGTTCGGCAGAGTCTTTGACAGTTGAGAGACTACTTGCTCGTGTGAGGCAAAATTGAGATGGATGAACTAGCCATTGTTCTGAGGTAAGAAAGTCGAATCCTGAAGTACTTTAAAATTTGAATTCGCAACTCATGTTTTTTCGAGAGTGAGAGAAGGGGTAGTTATAGGGGTAGTTACGGGATTTAGAGAGAGGAGACATTACAAATGGGATATTGATGTTTGTTACTTATCTGATTTCTTTGTTGCGCTTTAAGTATATGAATAAGGTCTTTATCCTATTTATTAGTTGTATTTTGTTGTTGTGTTTTTTATGATTTTGATTATTTACTTCTCCGATTTCTTTGTTGCGGTTTAAGTGAATGAATCAGGTCTTATTGTTGTCTTAAATTACAGTTTGTTATTGTTGCGCTTTGATTAGTTAATTAGCATTTTGTTATTGTTGTCTTTCTGGTTTTGTATATGGTATTGAATGTGGTTTTAGAACTAGTTTTGGATCTGGTTCTCGTGTTTTAGGTCTCTCGGATCTGATTTATTCCTTCTGCTTTTCAGGCTTCAAGTTCATCTCAAGCTCAAATTCAGACTTGAGGTTTCATCTCAAGCTCCAAATCAGGCTTCAGTTTCATCTCAAGGACATGATACGATTGCAGTAACTCAGCCTTCTCAAATGATTGAGTGATCTCTTATGTGTTTTCTTCCATGTTTCTGATCTTTTTTTTTTCTTTTTTTTTTCTAACATTTGAAGTCTTTTGGATCAAGTTTATGTCCCATGAATGCTATTTCTAATGGTTTTAAACATTGGTTTTAAAGAATGTTATGCTACTTTACTGTCCTTATTTTCTTGTATGCTTCTTCTCTCTCTACATATGGGTATGATTAAAAATGCAGGATCTTATTGAAGAACAAGACCACTCTATATGGCGATAACATGCTTTTATCTACGTGATAGGGTCAGGTTTTACCCAAATAAAACTACTGCAAGTGCACAGCAAAAGCAGTTGTAGTACAAGAGGTTATCGAATCCCAAGGGAGTATGTAAACCACACTAGCGATTATAGATTCAGATTAAGCTAAGCGATAAATAATGAATGTAATGCAAAACAGTAAAATAAATGCAAGAGGGCGTTTTTATGCTTGTTCTTAAAGTTCAGAAGGCTAAAGGCGCTAAGTCAGGACAGTTCGCAGGTTGAATCTGAGAGTGTAGAATGCATGCAATCAGGAATGAATTAAAACCATCTTGAACATGAATCGCAAAGATACAACTAATCAATTCTCATTGCAGAAGTTATCTATGTCTAAATCACAGAGTTTCAAATCTCTTTGCAAAACCCTAACAACCTAAACATGCAGTAATGATCAGGTTCAATTGTTCACAAAACTCCTAAGCCAAATCTCTTTGTACTAGAGCGTTTTGCTCATCTAATACTAGTTCAGGTGAATAATAATGCTCTCACATCTATCAAAAACCTAGGGTTTCGAAATCCAGATGATGTGTCTAAGAAATCGATATGAATGCAAGCTCAGATGAAGAACCAATGAATTTCCTATAAGTTTTTAGCAATTCTACAAACTCTTCTTCAACCTTTGAAAAAGCCCTAACTTAACTAACAGACTACTCAGACATGGTGATTTGAGAAAACATCATGAAAAGAATAGATTGCATAAAAGAAATAAGAAGTAGAAATAAAGGAGTTCAAAATTTGCTCTGAAGGAGTCTGATTTGTCTCTCCAAAAGCTCTTCTACAAATCTCTCTCTAAAGCTCTAAAAAATAATAAGATACAAGATATCTGCCAAAAGAATGGCTGAAAAACCTAATATACAAGCTAAAACACGATCTGGGGTCTTTTTGCAAATACTAGAACTTTTGGGCCAAAACTGCAATTTCTTCCCAATCTTTTAAAAACAGGCCACGACCTCCTTCCTTGGTGGGTGACGAGCGTCACCCATATGCATACTTTTCTTCCCGAGTTGGATACTTCGTGGCTTCAACTCAGAATGCTCCAAAAGGTTCCAAAATCTCCAATTATGCTCCAGACATGCTATAACCTGCAAAGACTCTACTAGGACTCTAAAAAGACCAAAAGGACTCAATAAAAATGAATTATATCATGGTTAAAAACTATAAAAACCATGATATATCAACTCCCCCAGACTTAGCTTTTGCTTGCCCTCAAGCAAACATCAGACAAAGAACAAGGTCGAGGTTTGAAAACAAGAAACAGTCAGTCAGTCATCAGGAACACCACACTAGTTAGAGCTTTCGAATCCACATACCACATAGTCAACACAAGATCAAATTTCAGTCTAATTATCACAAGCTTAGCAAATCTCTCAAGTCCAGTCCAAATCCCTTCAAGAAATCCGAAATTTCTACTGTTAACTCCTTATTTTTTTATCTAAGTGTGATATCTCATCAAGGCTCTATCATCTCAATCACTTTACAGATTCTTTTCCCTTCCTAACAACTGAACAAATCAATCTCAACACAGCTCTCCTATTTTCTCTTCCCTTGATCTTTTCCTTTGAATATTTTCAATTTTTCACTTCTTTTTTTCTCAACTTTTACAGTCTAAGATATGGTGCTACTCAATACTTGTGTTCCTTGTGAGGAGACAGGTTCTTGAGTGTGTTCACTACTGTTGTTCCTTGTGAGGAGACAGGGTCATGAATGCACCATTCTTTGGACTTAATCTTTTAAAAACTACATCAGGGAAGATCAAAGAGAGACTGTATTTTAACCTTATTTTCAGTGCTGAAAGAGAGAATCAAGATCAATAAGAATCAATCACCAAGACAAGAAGTTTAAAGTTCATTAAGGTGGAGCTAACAGCAAATTTTCAGATTCTCTAAGAACCTAAACCTTCATTGCTAGACTGATCTACCTATGACTTTCAACTTAGTAAGACTTGTAATCAACTACTGTGGCAATGGTTCTTATCATCAAAAACGTCCTATGGTTAGTTTCAAGAAAAACTGACAGTTTCAATAATTTTGACTCTAGAAAAACAGGTTTTTGACTCAACTTTAAGACTCTAGAAACATGACACAAAGCACACAACGTCAGTAACCACCGTCCCCAGACTTGAACAACACTGTCCCCAGTGTTATTAAGCCAAGAGTTGGTCAAAATGAAGCATGAGAACGTGTAAAACCAAGGTGGAAAAGTGGTACCTCGCAAAGGACCTGGTGACGAGCGTCACCAGATTGGTGACGAGCGTCACCATCTCTGATACTTCAGAAATCGACATGTTGGATGTTTAAATGCTATGCCATCATGTGTACTCCGAAGTCAAACTGTAAGAGCACTCAAAACACACATCAAAACATCCAAACAAAGCATAGTCCATGGTCCAACAAGTTCACAAGATATCATCCAAGCAAACTGAACAAAGTGACTCTTTTTTTTTTTTTTTTTTGATTTTTCTCATGTTTTTGGGTTTTTGTTTAGCTATGTAATAGAAAACTAAACTAATATATGAAAAAGAAAACTTACCAGTGGGTTGCCTCCCACTAAGCGCTTGTTTAAAGTCATTAGCTCGACTTTGAATGCTGCTCAGACAGCTGGTGGAGCAGAAGGTGGCATTGAATGCCTTGGAGAAGAATGTCTCCTCATCCATGGTGGTTTGTAAGCAGTAGATGTATGAACACTTCCAAGGAAGTGAGGAACATCAGCAGAGTGGGTCGTGACTGTGGGTGGGATA